GTTTCAATTCTGTTAACGTATTGTAATTTCAGATTTTCCGTTTCTTCGAGTTTCATTGTGATTTCTGCTTGTTCTAGTTTGTCTACTAGTTTTCGAAAATCTAAATCGGGTTCTCGAATTGATGAAGGATGGGATGCTCTCTTTTTTATTGCTATTTTCCTTAATTGTGGTGTTAAGGTCATCATTAAGATTTCTGTCATCTTTGTGTTTTTATAATCATGTGTATTTAATTAATATGCTTTTCGAACTAGTGTTTCGATTCGTACTGCTAATTGCTTGATGGTTTCGTTTGGTAATCTGCGAATTTCATTACATAAAACTCTTTGTTGTTGTTTGTTTCTTTCGGAGTCAAACATTTTTGAAAATTCTTGTGTAAATCTTTTCCAATTTGATTTTATTTCTATAGGCAATACTGAAAACCATTTTTGGGCTGCGCCATCTAGAGTTGTTTGTATTAACGCTGTGCGTCGATGTATCCAGTTTTGATGTAGTGGCGTATTAATTGGTTCAGGTCCTATATTTAAAATCAAATTTGCTGTGACTGCATTTAAATAGTCTTCTACAGAATATTCAGGGTCTGTTCCTGTGAATACCATTAAAGGTTTATTTGATGTTATTGATGATCCACCCATAAGGTATGGATTCATCGTCATTTGTAATGATTCTGCTGCATTTGGCATTTGAGAAAAATTTGAGAGTTGATTTCTTGTTATTTCGTGTTGTTGAAGATAATATGGGAGTGGTATTTCATTTTGCATTTGTGCTGGTTGGTACGAGTTTGCAATCATTGGGTTTTGTTGCTGAATTGGTTGAAAAGATTTATTAATTGGGTTTTGTTGTTGAATTGGTTGTTGAATTTGTGTATCTATTGGTTGTGGAGAAAAAATTCTATGATATGTATGTGGTTTCTGTATTCCTTGTCCACGATATTCTTGATTATTGGGTGTAAATATATCTGGTTGTAAGAAATCATCATCTGAGGATAAGTAATCCATTTGATAAGATGTTTGTTTTTTATTTTTATTTTGTTGAAAAAATGGATAGTTTTCACTACGATCCTGTGGAGGATGTAAATTTGTGTGGAAATTTACTGAATTAGGTGGTGCCATTGGGTTATCCCAGTTTTGAGATCTTGTATAATTACTAAAATTTTTTCGTGGTTGATAATTTGTTTTTGATGGATGTGTGTAATTATAATTATGGTCTGCAAAGTTGTTTCTAGTGAACGTTTTGCGTGTTTTTGGCAGTATTGTCATGGGTCTGTATGTTTGGTAATCCATGTGTGAATATTTTGGGGCAACCGAAGGTTTAACGGTTGATTGTAATGTTACCTGTGTTTGTGAAGAATTTGTATTTCTTGGTGTTGTTAAGTTTGGACGTATTGGTGAAATACTTTGTTGTGTAGTTGTTGTGTGTACGATTTCTTCATTTATGAAGTGTGATGGTGTCTGGATATCTTGTTGAGTAAGATTCCTAGTTCCATTGAGGTTTTCATTGTGTATGACTGTAGAGTTTAAACTATTATTTTGCATATCGGGTAAAAATGTATTATAGTTTAATGGTGTTGCATCAATGGTTAATGGTATTACTCGTACATAATCTCTTACATAAGATATCGTACTTATTGCTTGACTTGAGATTGATTGTGGGAAGTTTATGAATGCGGGATGAGACCATTCGGGGTCCCAAACATAGTCTGATTGTTCTGTGATGGCAGTATCATCGTTAGAGTTTTGGGGTCTAAAGTTTTTTCTTGCTTGTGAAATTAAATCAATATTATGTGTGAAATAATCTATTATGAACCATGCCAAGATTTTTTGTAAGTCGTGTTTTGTATGTTGTGAAACTTCATCTTTCGTGAAATTTTCTTTAATTATATTTAGGAAACTAGAGAGTAGTGTGATTTCATGTCGTACTCTTATATGTTTAGATGTTTCTGTCGGTGAGACATTTGGTATCTGGATTTCGTTTTCTAATATCGAGATATAACTATATATTATCGCAAAAACTTCATTGGTGAATATGGAGTTTGCTCTTTGTGAGTTATGATATTGGATGCTTTTTATATATTCTGAGAATATTTTTGAGAATTCTAAATCAAGGTCGTCTGTTTGAATTATATATTTACTGTGATTCTGGTTTGGTGAGCTGAATTCTATGGAGTAGATTCCGTATTGTTGTGTTAGGTTACATATATCTTTTAGATAGTGATCGATAATTTGTCTTTTGATTTTTACATCTGGGAACTCTGTTTTACATGGACTGATTCCGGGTTCAAACAAATTTAAGAGTAAATTTTTGCAGAATATATGCTGTCCTCTATCAGTGGTTGCGTCTACGATAAAGGGGAAAATATCATCATCATCTGGACTTTCTTCACCTGGGGTGTGCGTTGAGCTCATTTTTTCGTTCGATGACTGTTAATATGTAATTATCAATGTGTCTAATTGGTTGATTCCAATTGTATAAATGTACTGGTTTGTGTTTATACTGCTTTTTTATTCTTCTTTTTCCTCTTTTTGATGAATTTGAAGTTGTTTCTGAGTCAGAGAAATATAATTGATCGTGAATTGGGCAATTTTTATCTATTGATTCTTTTAGTTTATAAAGTTCGTCTAAACTGTTGGTTTCTGATTCTGAAAATGCGTTTCGATTTTTTGAAAATCTTTTTCGTGTTATTTGTCTTTGTTTAGTTAGTATTTTTCTCTTTAATGTTTGTCGTTTTGTTCTAATGTATCCAACTGTTTGTGTATGAGGTGTGATTACAAGGTCGTATTTTTTGTTATTTATTTCACAGTTGTGTAAAACGATTGTTTGTTTATTTCCTAGGTTTTTAAATGACATAAGGGTTAGGATGACGGATGCAAAAGGTTGTTAAATGATTTCTATTTGCTTAAACTGTTAGTCCTTACGATTTTTTGTTAGCCTAACCTGGGTCTATTTGTTCAGGGTTGGGGAGAAAAGTATATCGATTCCGAAGAATGATTTTATACTTTCTCGTGGCTAGTATAAGCTAAGGTGTTAACTTACTTAATCTTACTTAAGGGTAGTGATTGTGTTCAGGGTTGGAGAATAGTAAATCGATCCACAAGGTTCAGGTATAATTAGAACGCGAGTAGTTCGTTAGATACTATTTTAAACTTACTAAGTCTAAGATTTATCCTGGGTCTGGTAAGAGGGGGGATCAAGTGAAGGATGAATAACCGAAGTTCTTCACTGTTTATCCTAATTTGAATGATTAGTTTTGTTCAAAAATTTCTATTAGTCCTGGGTTTTTAGAAAGGGTTGGATGGTGAATCGACGTTTGAGGTCGTTAGACACTCGTTTAAGTGGGTGGGGGAGAACAAAGTTGTTCTTTTTGATCCAAGGATAGGCCTTGATGATCAAGTTTTAAATTTAATTAAATAGAAAATGATTTAAGATCCAAGGATAAGCCTTGATGATCTGATTTTAAAATTAAGTGATTTTAAGTTTAAAATGTTTTAAATTTGTGTTAAGAATAGATTTAGTATTTTTATGATGTTAGTGAGCTTATGATTGCTGTTATGTTTAGGCGATGAAGCTGGAACAACAGGATGATTTATAATTACTAATCATTTATTGTCATGCTACTAATTTTTATTTTTATTTTTCAATAAATATTTTTCAAACATGTTTTGTATATTACTGCAGAATTTTGGAAAACGATCTGAGATCTTTTTACCAATCGTTATTGTATATTAATAATTTTGTTTAGCGCCTGAAATGATTTTGAAGATTGACTTCAAAATTTTATGTTTGCAAATGAAAATCTAAATTCATTGCTAGTAGTATTCTAAATACAAAAGTTTGTTCTGGCTTTTGCCGAACTATCATATAACTATATGGTAAGTTTCTGCTTTGTCGTATGTCGTCTCTGGTTCGAGGTCTTCTTCCAATTCCGGGTAGTTCTGTTATCGTTCGGAATATTGGCTCTGATCTATTGAGTCGTAGAGACATTTCGATTAAATTATTGTCGTATAACATTTTGTAAATGTTTTGTCTAATTTCTAATCTATTATTGGTTAATGCTAAGCTATTAAGGTCTTGTTCGAGACTTATGGTCGCACCAGATGAGTTAGGACCGAAGTGTATAACTCATAGAGTAATTTCGGATAGGGTACACCGTCTGCTCGTCACGCTATCTTATTTTCGGCCGGATAGATTCGTGCAACTTCTTAGTCTAATACCGATCCTAATCTTACTCTTATACTATCTAGTCTCAGGTTGTTTAACTAGTCTCTGCTAGGCTCAATAGATCTAGGGTATACTGGTTTATTGCAGCTGCTGAAGTACTCGGGAGAGTTCAACTAATTTCTAAGTTAAATTCAAATCTCTCTGGTGCTGAAATTACAAGTAATTTCAGCACTTACAAATAAGTGGATTGTTAGTTAGATGGATCATGATTGGTTAATATTAAATACTTTACATTGGTAAAATATCTAATTTATCCAATCATAAAATGTAGTTTAGATCAGGTTCCAGGAGTTCCGCAGATTATTTTAAACGTAACTTTGAATGGGATGAATTTATCGGTGAAATCAGAAAAAAACTGTGTAATTGGAAATTCTCATCTTTCTCCGGATAAAATTGAATTGAATTTGTGGATTATTGCGCCCTCATTCCAATGAAAGATTCTCGGGCTCTTTTTACTCCCCCCCCCCCCTTACCTGCAAATTCTTATTATCAAAATTGCTGTTCACACTGTCCGATTGTCACGAAAATTGACATGCAGACTAATTAGGCAATGACAAACATATTTGGTCTTCATAATTAACCTTGTAAAGCCACTCGTTAGACCATAAAAGTGATGCTCGAGTGAGGTGGGTGGAAAAGGAAAAAGAACCGATTCTTGTGACATAGTCGAGAAAAAAAAAGCGGATTCTGCTCATTCAACGGATGCTTTCCAATGTAAAGGTGATTGGGGTAATGAGAAGTTTTCGAGGGGACAATTAACAGTTGCTGGGAGGCAACAAACATACCATAGCTCAATGCAGGAATAGAGAAGGTGCCAATATTTGCCCCGAGGTCCAGCAGAATTGGACTCTTACCATCCCGCTGCAGATCGACCAGGTGACTCAGCACAGTTGCCACACCTAAAATACAAACTCTCCAAAACTAAAACTGTACTGAACGAAAAAATAGGGCAATATATGCAGAAAACAGGTTTTTGAGATTAAAAAGTCAAAAAATAATGCAATTTTTTCTATTATTCCTTGAATTACAGTAGGTTCTGACTGTCAGTTAATGCCAAATTTATCTTTCTCGTGATTCAGTCGAAGCGTAGTGACCCGGGCTGACCTTCATAGACCAAATATGCTAATCAGGCAATTTCATAAACTTAGTCTATGGAAAAATGCTAGTCATACAAGTTTCATACATTTTTGCAAAAACGAATTTGATCAAATTGTAAAGGTATATTTTGTTGTTGTTTTGACACCGAAATTGGTATCTTTCCATAAAAATAAGGAACAATGGCATGAAAAAAATGCTAATCATTCAATTTCCATATATGGAAATTGTATGATTAGCAGTTTGCTTTTAAAAAAAAGCTCTGAACAATTAATTCAATTGCTGGAAAAACAGTTAAGCGTTATTTGGGCTGCTACAACTGAAAATTTTGATTTTTTTTGGTTTCTGAAAAAAATGCTAGTCATACAGTTTCCATATATGAAAATTGCATGACTATCATTGCTTTAGAAATCGTCTTATGGGATGGGAATTAAAGTTGTTTTTTCCTCATTTTGCTGGAGTTCTAATTGTAAAAACAAAACTATATGAAAAATTTCTTATTTTACAATTTCCATATATGAAAAAATAATAATCATAGACCTTTCATGCAATTTTCTGTACGTATGGACTTGTATGAAAATTGTATGACTAGCATTTTTGCTCAACACGGGGAGCCAATTATTCCTTGAATTATTTTTTTTATTCCTTGAATTATAGTACGTTCTGACCGTGTCTGTACAAAACAGTCCCATACAAAACAGTCCAAACAAAACAGTCCGAAAAAGTATGAAAATAAACTAAAAAACAGTCCAATACAAAACAGTCGGAAAAACAGTCCCAAGTAATAATTGATTTAACAAGCCGGTAGGACGAGAATTAACCTTTGTTCAACCAACATAATGAACAAAATAATGACCGCCGCAGTCGCGCTAATACAAAATTGAGAGCCGGTTATCGCCGCAAAGCGGCGACGCGCGCACAGCGCGCCCACCGGCGACCTTACACCGGACTATTTTGTATTGGACTGTTTTGTATGGAACTGTTTTGTATCTGCACATTCTGACACTCACATAATGCTAAATTTAGTTTCCCCGTAATTCAGAGAAACCAGTTAGCCCATAATCTGTCACTATTGCTACTTTGCTACTTTTTCCGAAAAAAATTAACAACCAGAATTATAAACTGATCTCTGCTATATGAGTTCAAGCATCACAAAACGAATTCATGATTAATTTTACAATAAAAAAAGGTAAAACAGGATAATTGATGTGACGGCAAAGCCCTGAACAGCTCAAATGCTGGTTAGTTTTGACTTCATAAACAAACTTGATTCAAAAATGGACCTCCGTCAAGGTTTTTCTGGATTCGAAACTGGCCAAAAGTTCCAATTATTATGACTTTCGAAGAGATTAAAATCTTGCTCTTGGCTTGGTTTTTCCACCAGATGATTTTTGACTTTTTAAAAAATAATTATCGATAAAACTTTTTCATGGAGTTTACAGATATCATACGCATGAAAAAATTAATTTAGGAGAAATCCTAGATCCGTCCATGGAAGCGGGAAGATACCAATCTTCCTTCTTCTACATTAAATTTGTTTAAATTATTAATAAATAATTTTCTTAAATATTTAATTGAGCTATATTAAGGTCAAAACTATCTAGAGTTTTTTTGAATGAAAACATGAGCGGTATAAAGCAAAAAAATTTTTTAAAGCAATAGTTGTCAATTTTTTATATTTTAACTTCTAGATTCGTTGTATTCACTCTGCATAAAAACTGGCACTGGCGCGCACAAAAACTGGCAAGGAATATTTTGATTCTAGCTACTGACGAAATAACTAAACAAAAAGACCTAAGAAAAAAGTCTGAAAAAAAAACAGTTTAACTACTAACTTTTATGCTTTTGATTAAACTGCTTTCAAGTTTAAGCGTAGGCGAATCTGGGATTTCGTAAAATTTGAACTCAAACTCGCGTTTTTTGGCGAGTCAACTTTCCTCGACTTGGCAGATATATTGGCGTAAAAGACGCCTTTAGAAAAAATTTACATAAATTGATCAATAGAAATGTGATAAAGTATTACCAAAAAATTACTTTTTGGGTGCACATTGAACTTAATCCGAACCCGCCTCCGGATGTCTGGATGTGAAGGAAAATACCCAGAAACTATTGGTTTGAATGATGTGCCCCTATAATGTTTTATTGCTGTATTCGTTAATCAATGTGTGAGTATCTATCACTTATCAAAATTGAATTCATCAGCGTGCATTAGTGCTGATTTAAATTAGTCGGAGAAAATGCATAAGACTCGAACACTAAAATGCCTTTTTGTTCAAATTGAGTTGATTTTAGGCAAAAAAAATTCGAAGGAACAACTTGCTTAGATTTTTAACAAAATTAATATGCTGCAATTTATTTTGCGAAATTCGGGCCCAAAAGTTTACCTTTATAAATTTACCTACAGACGCTTCATGATATTAAATCTATGAAGTGTATAGTCTAAAAAACATATGCAAAAAATGTTCTCAAAATATTGGAGATTATACCCTTGATGACACCCTTGTTGATAACCAAAAATGATCGTTTTTAGGGCAAAACTTTAAGCCCGAATTTCGCAAAAAAAATTGCACTAAAAATCTAAACAAGTTTTGTCCTCGTCATTTTTTATCTAAAATCAACGCAATTTGAGAAAAAAAAACTTTCCATTTTTCGAGTTTTAATTGTTTTTTTCCAGATAATTTAAATCAGTATTGTATTCTAAACAGTCATAAGTTTGAAATTTGAACCGTTTCAAATAAAAATTGAACCTCTTCAAACAATTTCATGAACCTCTCCTTTCTTAGTACGTGGGCAAATATAATAATTAGATTTGCGTTGCCAGAAACACCGAATGTTGTGATCATTATGTCTTTGCAACAAAAATTACACGAATGTTTCAAAAATTTGTGTTTATTGATTTCTGGACTGCAGTCGTTTTTTAGTGGAGATTGCACGTTCTGAAACTCAAAAGTTGGATAGACACCAATATGTTAATTACTGTAATGATTAGTGTTGGAACAAGCGTGCTTTTATCAAAGAAAGCCCTGAAACTTACTACTTCTTTTAAATGTTTCTGATAATTCATCGAAATCCTTTTTTTTTCTTTTTTTTTAAAAAAAAAATCCCTCCCAAAATTTTGTTTAGAGGTCCACGTTATCCAGGATGTAGCAGTCTAAAAATTACGATTGAAAAAAAAATACTGTGTTCGCAGAAGATAACTTTATGTTGTCGAGAAAATTAGGATGATAGCTTAGGATAATGTTTAACATTATTCTTAGCCTAACAACAATTGACTCATTTGGGTCTTTGTGTGCTCTTGTTGGTAGTCTTCTTGCATTTTTGAAGCTTTAATCACTTCATTTTCTGTAATGAGCTCGTTCAAAATTTGAAACGGGCTCTCACATCTGAGCATTTTAGACACTGTTTTCACTCTTTAATTCAACTTGAGCGCATTCGCAGAAAAAAAATCTTTTCAATCTTTGATTTTGGATTGATTGTTATGTACGTGCGCTTAGGATAATTCTGAGCAAGCGCTTCTTTTTTCATCTTAATAATTAACAATGGTCTTTTTTGTGGAGGCGCAAGCCAAAAACCACACTGTAAAATAGGTTGCACGTAAATTTTTTCAGTTGTTACAAGGTGCGTTTTCGAAATCTACTTTCTTAAACTTTGAGAATCTCCGAAAAATTTCGTGAAATTTTCATCTATCAGAATTCCAACCTATCGAATTTTTTTTGCACGCTCAATTGTTTGATCATTTAAGTTAACAGTTTGGAGATTTAATTTTTTCCTGTTTGTTTTGCTGAAAATAAGAGTTTTGTTTTGTTAATTTTAGTGTAAGCTTGTTTTGTGTTAACCACTTTGCTGTTTTGTTCACAGCAGTTAGTACGTTTTCTCGGTTTGAGCCGATATTTTTAATGAAAATTATGAGAAGCAGTGGACCAACAATTGATCATCGAGGAAAACGGAAACGAACTTCTCTTAGTTTTGCGTTTATATACTTAGTGGCTACATACCGCCTCCTATGATTCAAATAAATTTTTCATAACTGACCATGTGGTCCTTTTAGTCCAAAAGACTCGCATTTTTAAACGGAATTAAGTGATTTACTGTATTGATTGCTTTTTCAAATCTATGAAGGTGCATTATATCAGTTTTGTTTCAATGTGATTGTGAAATTTTTGCTTTCAGTGAAACGATTACGTCAACTGTTGCACGGTATGAGCAAAAACCAATCTGATTTTTCCTTTGTAAGTCAAAATTATTGAAATCTGATATCATGCGTTTGTTTATTTATTTTTCCAGGAGCTTACTTAAAACTAGCAGTAGGGCTATTGGTTAAAAGTTTGAGGGATCAGCTTGATTTCCGTTTTTATAGACAAGAATCAGTTTGACAACTCTAAGGCAGTTTAAAAAAATGGCATAATCAAAAAAATCTGAGAACAATTTAGATAAAATTAGTGCAACAGAGCAATTAAAACTTTCAAAAAGTAATTGGTCAAATTATGAAAGTCTGAGCCGATTTTTCTTCGATCGACTATAATGTTTTGAAAACTTCCTTTTAGCTAATTGTTATTAGATACATTGAATGTACGTACTCTTCCAGAGTCGGCAACCTATCATTTAACGTGCTAGCCAGTTTTTGCCAACCGTCAAAAAGAATTTCAATAAAATGGTCCACATTCGTTTGTAATGTTCTAACCGACTTTCTGGTATTTTCACCTTTAATTTCCTTTGAAATTTTAAAAAACAGTTGTTATTTGCCCCAGCTGATTTTTCTAATTTTTTATAGCAAAAATTTTTTGTTTTGCTATAAATTAACTTT